TAGAGTTCACTACGCTCGAACTGAGGAAGCACATAAATGGATAATTGTCATGATATTTAGTGTCACTTAAATTAGAATACATGTATAAAATTGTTTAAGGACATTTTGACAAAAAAATTATTTAAATACAATATTTTGGCAAAAATTAATCCTAGAATGTAATCTTTTTCCAAAATGTTCTCCTCTTTGTGAAAAAGTGGGCTTCTATTATTTTAATGTTTTGCCTGTATTTGCCCAGACCTTTCTAGAGTAGAGGCTCAACTAGAATTTTTGAAAATTCACATTTTTTCAGAGTTACCAAATTCAAATAGCTACTATCATACCGCTTTTTTCCTCTAAAATTGCCCCTGTTGTCGTAAAAATATGGGTAAACCCACTTCTAAGTTATATATTTCAAAAATTTTAGTTGAGCCTTTGTAGAGAGGTCTGAGTTACATACAGGCAAAACATTATAATAGAAACATTTTTCACAAAAGGAGAACATTTTGAAAAAAGATTATTCTAAGTTAATTTTTTGCCAAAATATTGTATTTAATTTTTTTGTCAAAATGTCCTTAAAACAATTTTATACATGTATTCTAATCTAAGTGACACTAAATATCATGAAAATTATCCATTTATGCGCTTTTGCAATATCACGGTTCCTAACGTAGTCGGATCCCTTAAAACTATTTTCAAAAGTATCTCTCCATTAGGGAAAGTCGAGGCTATTTCTCTTGCAACTCGATAAATTTTTACTGGGTTTTCATTGTATCTTTGTTTTCTTTTAAAAATATTAAAAACTTATGCAATTCATCGTCAAAATTAAAGGATTCAATATCGTTTTTGTAATTGTCCTTTAGTTTTTATGTAGCTTTCTTCTTAATTTAAGGTAATAATCTATCTCTTGTCAAAAAATAAAGTGTTCTACTACAGTTTCATATATCTCAACTGTTCGGGTTAGTTCTTTTGTCTTATCGCACATGACATACAATGAATTCATGATGAAATTTTCCCTTCATTTAAAAACTTACGAACAACTTCTTTACTTTCACCGAAAATAATTTTTCTCTTGTCTTGCCTGTGAGCTTGTCCATCTTCGTTGTGAGCTCAAACGAGAGCCTTGATAAATGAGTTGCTTGCTCCACTTTTCAAATTCATTTGAAGTTCTGATATAATATTTCGTGACATTTTAGTAGACTATATCATTTTTAATAATTCACATTCAACTAGTTGCAATGATTTTGTAGTAGCACTTATTCTTTGGAGTATGGCATTCCAAATCACGGTCATAAGGGAAGTTTGCATTTGTACATTCATAAAGGCGCAGCGTTGTGGTTCTTTTCCTCCGCATTCGTTCTTAATTGATTTCAGCCAGGTCCTTTTCCCTTAAGCATAAGGACTAAGTTCAAATAGTTGATAAAAGCTTGCTTGAATGAAACATATCTTTATCAAATAACCCCTTTTGTTTCATTTATCTTCACTCAGTAAAATACGCTGATGGAAATTTCAAAAATCCCAACCCTAAGAAGAAGGTATGCTAGGTGAACGAAATTTTGGTAGGTATGTTTGTACATATGAAAGAGATGACATTGATACAAATTCTGCGTTAAGCGCATAAGTAAAATGCTAGTTGCTCCATTTTGAACATGCGAATCAGGTGTACTTTTAAATACACACTATAAAGTCAATGAGAGTTGTTTATCGTTGAGATTTACGCAGTGTGTTGATGTTAGTCCAGAATGACTTTAATATGTTGCTTCTCAAACTTTCAATATACGTGACCCACTATTCAATCATCATTTCTCATCTCTGCCCCCTCCTCCCCTTACAATTACAATATATTGAATTCAATAATACTATACTTTGACACTAAAGCTACAATACATCTTTTTGACTTTAGCGTACCACCGACGTATATAAACGTCTCGCTCAGTCAAAGTATTAATTTTCTAAGTGTATATATAATGCCTTTCCGAAGTAATGATCTTTTTTCTTGTGCAGTGCATTCCATAAAATTATTCTGGAAGGTTTTGAATGCAATATAAGGACCTTGGACAGTGTTTGCAAAGGAATTACATATTTCCAGAGGATTTGCTAATAAATCTCTTTTTCTCCTCCCTCCCCCTAAAAAAAAAACAAACAAAATACGCTCGTCTACATGAAAACGATTTGGCATTGGGGAGCGAATCGCGTAACTTTTTAATCGGCATTTAATGAGTTAATTATAAACTCCGTACAAATTATCAAGATAAATGTTACGCAAACCCATGGGATCACTGATAATTATCAAATTTGTTCTTAACTTAGTATTGTTAAATTAATAATAAAATATACTTGGTGTATTGTAAAACCATTTCGTTGCATTTCTTTTATGGGCGTGTATTTATGGACAGTGTATAAAATGTATTATTTTATATTTTATTATATCAGAAAAGTATTTTGTATGTTTTCAGTAAATTAATTTTTTTAACTAATCTTTTTGTTTTCGACTTTCAATATGCTCGCGCCCCTCGTAGAGTTATTATCATGCCCCCAGTTTGAGAGAACGTTGCTTAATAAGCATTAGCCAATATCACCAGCTGACTTTGAACGAAGTAGTATGATAGAGCTTTTAAAAAAAGGTGAATTTTCTTTCCATCATATTATAGAGGACTTGGGAGGAATGTATCCACTGCTCAATATTTTTTGGCAGCAGTGGTTCTCAAGAAAACTATGATCCAACTACGGATAGGTCATACACTGACAGAGAGGACCGCGTGTCACCACATAGCCGGCGGAAATCATAGTCCATCTGCTGTTAAGAAATTATTTTTCGTACCAGAGTGATACAAAGGAACTGCACAAATAAATCACCTTAGAAATAGCTCACAGCCACATGCCCTGTAGCATCTACGCCCATTGTGGCGGTAAGCCATATCTATATGGAATCCAGTACTAACATCACGCGAAGACGATCGTTTTGGCGTGATTGGTTACGTACTTGTTTTCAACCGAAACGGAAGGTACCCAGAACGAACTTTCTTCCTTCATTGGTGACCCTGGCCGCAAAGGAACCGCGACCCTTCACGCGCCGCAGTCGTTACCTAACCATTGCAAAGCAACTAAGCTGTCAAACACACGCAATAAGCTGTTACTTCTCAAAGTCGTCTCACACAAATGATGCAATCAAATCGTCACAATAAATGACGCACTCAAGTCGTTCACACAAATGACGCACCAAACCGTCACACACATGACGTGCAATTTCAAAGCCGTCTCGCACGAATGACGCAACCCACCAAGTGATGCGCAACTACATACTCGCCACTTAATATATATCGTTGTTCGCCTATTCGCCGAAAACACTGGCGGGGGAGTATGTGGTGGTGTGATATATATATGAACTCAGTACCAACATCACGCGGAGACGATCGTTTTGGCGTACTGGTTACGTACTTGCTTTCGAACGGAAGGTACCCAGAATGAACCTTTCCTCTTCACCATTATATCTAAATTACTGACATCTGTGTGGCGGCTACCAGGTTCACCACCCGCTTAATCCGCCTCTGACCTACCTGTATCGTATTCTAGTCATCACAAAATGATCGGTTCGAAGGACGTTCTCTTACGGTGGGTAACCAACACGCGGCCCCATGGCCCACCAATATGTAAGTTGCTGCCCCACCGACTCTTTTTAAAACTTTTAAATATCATCAGGTTTTTAAAGTTTTCTCTATTTTGAAATTTATTTGAGGGAAATTTATATATATATATATATCAATCTATAATGTATTTGCCTGTTAACTGTTCTTGTTTTAAAAATAACCCTTGATAATAGAAACGTCCTTTTTAGACAAAATGATTTATATATTTTATCAAACAGTTAAGTTTCATTTTACTATAATAAATTATTTTTAATAAATTCCGAATTGTGGATTATGCTATCCTTTACTATGGATGGTACATGATTCTCTGTGTGGCGACTTTTATTTCTCCTCCCCTTTTCTGTTTGGAGTGCCGAAAAAAGCAAGAGGCAGCCGAGATGTTTTTTAAAGTTTAAAAAATTATTCGTGATTTGCTAAGATAAAAGGCAATGTATACTTATTCGTTTGCGAATGACAGCACAATCAAATTAAACAATGAGTAAAGAAAGATAAATTCAAAAGGAACTCCGTAATTTTCTTTAAGAAAATGGCAAATGTAATATTTTAAACATTATTTGATTATTTTTGCATTACATAAATATTATGATATAAATCTATGTCTGTATACATGAAAAATAATGAAAAACAATCATAGTCAATACATTTTGGTTTTAAATTTTTCCACTACATGCTTTTTGTTTCCAAACTGATATGTAAAATGTAAGGCTATTTTTATGTGCGGCCCGCGATTATAATGCTCAAAGTGGCTCGCAGGGTCATTTGGGCTTCATGTGAAAGCAGATCTTCCATAATCCTCCAAGATCAACTAGTGCTGCCATCTGCAGGGAGAAGTGTGTAACTTACGATTTCCGTCACGGTCTATTTATATAGCCATTTAATGCTGTCAACCCTTCGACTGCTGATTATTTTAAGATGCATTTTAAAGATTTCGCCATCATCGCTGCGATCCTATAGTGTTAGTACATTGCGTTGTGGCCGCACAACCCAGGTTCGAATCCTGGTCACCAAAAGCTTATTTTAGCTTCACTTAATACATTAATTAAGGAAATAGTTGATAATTGTCTCATAAATAAAATCTTATTTGTCCCAGACAGTACTGCTGTGAATAGAATGGCTTTATATATCAATCAATCAGAAATCCCTACAGTTAACTCTTATTCAAAATTTATTTTCTTTTATTTTAATAAAAAACGATTTTTAAAAATTATATTTTTTCTCTCAAATGTCTTAACGTATTCAACAATTTTCCGAAATAGCCAGGGAAAATATATAATGTGTGTACAACTACTTCAAAATATATATACAGTAAATAAATTACTTAAATTACTTATGTTCATTAGTGTGTGTCACTTCAAATTATCGCATTGATTCCCAGACGAGGGTTGAAAGTGGTTAAGGCGATGGACTGCTAATCCATTACCTGCTCAAGTGTGGGTTCGAATCCCATCCTCGTCGGAGGATTTTTTAAATTTTTTACAAATGTGTTTGGCGCAGTATAAAAAACCCACATTCACTCACTCACTCCTCATAAGGTCTTATCCCTATGGGGAGGTAACATTTTTTATACGTCTTTGTAAATCTTCGAAGAGGAAACGTGAAGCCGTATAAACTGCGTAATTCAGCGTTTCTGAAACTGTGGGGCGTGACCCCCTAGGACAGCGTGATAAGTCTTCGAGGGGGATACAAACATATTGAAAAGTCGAAAACAAAAGCTTTTAAAAATATATTAGTTTACTGAAAGTAAATAAACAAAATACATTCTGACATAATAAAAAATAAAATATGCATTTCCACTGATAAAATACATTTATAACTGTATCATCACGGCACAATGTATTTTATAATTAATTAACCAAAAAATAACAAGTTTAATCATTACCAGTGTCCCCCTGGGCTTGCTATGCATAAAATTATATACAAAAATTAAAACTTGTCTTGTTAATTTCTACGATTTATAATTAGTCCCTTCATTACCGATTAAAAGTTATGCGATTCGCTCTCCAGTGCGTAGGTTTCCCCCTTCCCCAGTTTTCCATGTAGACTTAAGGAGTGGGGGGGAAATAGGAATAAATAAGCAAATCCTCTGAAATAAGTTAGTCCTTCACAAACTCTGTCAAAGTCCATTTATTGCATTCCAAAGCCTTCCAAATAATTTTATGGATGGAAGTGCACAGAAAAGATCGTACTTCAAAACGACGCATATATACGCCTAGGACAATTAACGTTTTGGCTAAACGAGACGTATATATACACCAGAAGAAGTCCAGGTCAGTGCCTGTAAACAATTTTTCTATGACCTAGATACACTAGGCCAGCACTTGGAGTTTTTGTCTGGAATTGTTTTTATTGTAGGGTAACTCTCGAGGTTAATTCACAAACTGACTGCAGCAGTCTTGAGATTTAAACTGTTGCATTGTCATTTATAAACATCATTCAGGGGGTGTATTCCAATAGGATAAAGTGCTCTCTCATACCCTTTTGTAACACAACATGCTCTATAAGGCCTTCAATCGTGCACGAATGGTACTTCATTGGAGGGCAACAACAACCAGAATTAAACAACCTTATGGTGACCGACGAATAGCAACAAGGATGGAATTCCATCCCTCATGGATCCGGTACTTGTATGACACATTGTATGCACGTTTGCATTTAAAATTCTGGTGGCAACACCGGTTAATAATGTGCCATCATTTTCCACTTGAAATAGTTTTTCTCGTGCTTACATTAATTAACCTGTGATCTTGAAACTTTAATTAATTAAATATGTTACATATACAAATGCATTGCCAAAGTTCCATTAGTCGACGGTAATTTTTTCTTGGTGTTGGGATGTGTTTTTTCCCCCATCAGTGTAAATCAGGGGTGTAAAACTTTCGGCCCACGGGCAGCTCGCGTCCCTAAATGTACAATTTTGGGTCCCGGCCAATACGCATTTCGACACAAAATAATACATAATAACATATCAAAACTTATCCCGAAATAGGAAAGGTAGCAGCAGAGAAGAGATGCCAAGTTAAGAGTTGGATGCGAACATTCAATTTTTCTTGTTCTTTTATATATGTTAATTATAATGTATTTGACATAAACCTACGTTTCCATGAATATTGATTTTTTTGCGCGGCCCACCTAAAGTTAAACTTTGTTTGGCCCAATTGAGTTTGACCTCCTTGGGGTGTAAAATGTATCCGAGAGTAACTAAGCACGGCTGTGAACTGAAAACGAACTTGTTTGACTTAAATAGTATTCAAAAAAAAAAAATGCATACGAAAAATTTAATCGTTATAACAATACATGAGTACGGAAGAAAGATGGTTAGCCTTGCTACACGACTCAAAATCGGTCAAATCATGGTTGTTGCAATATCAATTCAAGATCGCTTTGTTGTACGTTGAATTTATAACTTGAATCCATTTAGCTTGGGGCCCTGGCGACCGCCAGGTTCGCCACCCGCTTAATCCGCCTCTGCCTTGAGACATAGCCATCCTGCGATAGTTATGTCTAGTGGGATCCGCGTAAGCTAGAGGTGTGGGATTATCTAAAAGATGAGACATTTTGTGATTCTTAACACAACTTTTATTAAGAATAACTTAAATTACTTAATTCTAAATAACAACTTTCTTTAAGTGAGAATGTTTTCAAATTAAACTGAATATTCAAGTCAGATCGCACGACCAGATCACTTATCTTAATATATTTAAATATCTGCCTAATCTAACTTCCTAGCAAAAAAGTTGTATCGTGTTTTGTGGATTGCGCACCCACATAGTTTTGTATCTGTGGTTCGAGTCGAACTAAAATTATGATCCACTAATTCTGCTTGGGACATTCCTAATTCTAAACTTCTCTCTATTTTTAGTATCTATATACGAAACCTGCAGGATCCTGATTTCTTCCCGCTGGGACGCGTAAAATTGCAGGACTGTAGTTCTTCTTATTTTGGACCGCGGAAAAGCCTCGCTAATTCAGTTTTGAGCTGCGCAAAACTGTGGCTGTATTTTGCACCCAACAACGAACCAAATATCGAATACCAATCTTGAGCCCTTCCTGAGATGACTTTTAAGTAAGCATTACGACAGCCATTTGGGATTTCAAGTAACTGTATGTTATTAATAATACACTCTCTATAAACTCTGTAATGTTCTCTTGACCCCAGCATATTTCAGGTAGAACAGTACTTCCACCTACATTACCTAACCCAGAATTATTATATACGTTCAGCTATTGCGACATAGCCATCCTGTGATGACCATACGTACCGGTTCCGCGTAAGCTAGAGGTGTGGGATTATCAAATGATGAGACATATAGTTTCCATACAACTTTTATTAAGAATAACTTATATTACTTAAATTTAATTTGACAATTTTAATTAAAGTGAGAGTTAACACCCAAATTAAAAACCGTGTATTTAAGTCAAATCACGCAACTAGATCCTTTATCTTAATTATAGTTAATACGGATTCATTCTAAATTACCTATATCAAATATTACCTTTGCAGATCTCCTTCCTTTACCTAAAGAGAGATAGCTGCAATTCAATTTCTTTGTATAAGAAGATTCCAACTTTTATATTAGCTTCTATTCCTTCTAAAGTTATCGGACTGCTAACTCTTGATCTGCAAGAGTACACACTAAGCTATTCTAAACTTGCCGCACTAACGATCAGAATAATTCCACACTAAACTATCTCAAGCTTGCCGCGCTATATCTTATCATCAAAGCTTCTATCCTTTTATAGTATATCCCATTTTACATATTATCTTGTTTATCTTCTTGGTATTGGGTTGAAAAGTTTTGCCATTAATCGTGGCTGTCAAAGAACATAGGAGTTATGTTAGCAGAAAGACGCGAGAGACGTCACAAAGTGTGAAATACGACACTCAAGTGAAGTTCTTGAACTGGTTCTTGCCGGTTTGGGAAGAATTTTCCATATGGGCACTCAGGGATGTTAAATTTTTTCTAGAGGTCTGAAAAATATAAACAATTTTCAAACAGGTATAATTCTTTTCGAGAGAGACGTCACAGCCTCTACTTGTATTGCATTCCGTCATCATAAATGATCGGTTCGAAAGACGTTCTCTCTTTACGTAAGGTGGCCAACTTGTCCTCCTTTGTAAAGGTGACAGTCCTCCTTTTATGTTTTGTCCTTCCAAAAAAATGTTCACCTTTCAATATTTTTTAAACTTATCTGTTAATCTCTGGCATTCAGAGATGAACCAAATATGTTTCCAAACGTCAAAGAATGTTCTGAAACAAATATCACAGGCAAAACAGTTTTCTACGGTATTTTTGATTTTACTGCAAGTAGAATTCTGTGGGTAGATGTAGAAAAGTACATTGATTTTTTTTCGAAAGAAATGCCAGATATTAAAATCGATGAAAAGTATCTGTTTGAAATAGAAAGAAGACTGCATGTATATTTAATTTTAATAAATTGGAAAATCAACATGCTGAGAAATTGATAAGAGATGGGAGAAATTACTTAAAAGATTTCAAAAATGAATACATTTCATATTAAAATGTAAATACCTGCTTGAATTCATGCCAGCTACCCCTGAACCTAATGTGTTGGAACAGTTTTTTTTCTCATTTGGCAATTGATTTTTAGAAGTGAATAGAGTGAGAAATCAATATTGGAAATGTTAATATATTAGCTAAGCAGTGCTTTACTCAAGTACCCAAGTTCAAAGGACATTTCAGTCCGAACTTTGCAAATATATTAAAAAATGGCATGTTGAAAAAAATCATTCAATAGGAAAAATATCGTTTAAGATAATAATTAAAAAATGTAAGGTGAATTTAGCGGGAGCTTTTTGTTTGAATTAATAAAATGTTTCCATGTAATTGTTGTAATTTTTGTTAAATTTTTCGTCCTTTCGTTTCATCAAAATGGTCACCTACGTACCGGAAAGTTGTTTTTTGCACAACTCCTGATCAGCCGCGCTGCTATCTGTATGGAGAGGTGTAACTTCACATTTCGTCACGGTCTATTTGTACCATTTAACGCTACCGACCCTTCGACTGCTGATTATTTTGGTGATGCATTTTAAAGATTCCGCTATCATTTGCTTTGCGTGGATCGTATAGTGGTTAGTACATTGCGTTGTGGCTGCAAATAACCTAGAAGCCCTGAATCCCGTCACGGTAAGTGTTTATTTTAGCTTCACACTTTCTAATACATTAATTTACATGGGAAGAATATAAATTGTCTCATAAATAAAACTTATTTGTCCGAGATGAAAATCGCTGAATAGGAATTGTTTTATATATCAATCAATCAGAAAATCCCTTTGCCAGTTAACTCTATTCAAAAATCTCCTATTTTCTTTTATTTTAAAATTATTTTAAAATTATATTTTTCTCTCAAATGTCTTAACGTATTCAACAATTTTCCGAAATAGCCAGGGAAAATATATAATGTGTGTACAACTACTTCAAAATATATATACAGTA